CCATGAAGAAGATTTTCGGCTTGTCTCTTCCTGGGAATTCTTATATTTCTTCAAAAAATACAATGTAGGAAGCTATGGGGTCACAGTCTGCAACTATTGTGGAATAATTATATTTCCTGAAAAATTTCATTTTCCCTTAAAACATAGAGACAAAGACATTTCAATCTAACTGAACACACCCAAAAGTAACCAAATGCCCAATAAAAGCCAAGGCAGACAGGGAGAAGATGTCAGGGCAGTGTACTTTCCCCAGTGAAAGCCCCTTGCTACCCACTGTGAGCAGCAGGAGCCTTTGTGGTGAGACTGAAGGAAACATGAGCTCGGCACTCATGGGCCAGCTCATCAGCAGAGGTGCTGGGTCTTCACAGACGCCCAGTGTTTCTCAAATCCCCCATGATTACCTGGCAGCAACATACGCATATGCATGAGCAACCTGCCCATTGACACGTGTGTGTATATGTGTGTATATGTGTGTCTCTGTGTCTCACTGTCTCTATGTCTCTCTGCAAGGTCTAGTGCTTCCCACTTTCTTTCATATTTCGTTAAAACTTCAAAAGCTTGTATGGCTCTGCTCAGTGTCTGCTTAGAGAACAGAACATCTTGGAAAAGGATGTTGTTGGAGTTACATCAGCAATGTGGAGAGGTCCCAAAACAAACATCAATACCGTCAAATTAAATGCTACCACCTGGTGGAGTCCATCTTTTGGCTGCTCCAGTGACACAGTGTGTCACTCTTGGGTTTAGCTTTTCCCATTCTAAAAGGAAGCTTCTGACTATAAGTCTATCATGTAAACTTTGTATCACCTGCAATCTGTAATACATTTGTGTTGTTACAAATGGAGTGAGTTCTAAATGGAAATCCTATAGCTTAAACCCACTGAGAATAAATGTCAACTGAAATTAAAATCCATTTCTACTTTTCCATCCAGATGCATACACAAATATAAGTAAGCATAACCGTGGAAGCTGTAGAAAACAATGAAATAGGAAGCAAATTAGTTTGTTACTATTCACCTATTATGAATGCTAGCTGTCAAACATCTCCGTCCATATCTTTCTTCTATTTCTTCTAACCACTGTCTGTACTTTGTCAAACCTGCTCGCCATCATTCTTTCAGGAGCAAACTGTCAGGTCGTGTTTATTAGATTTTGACTGTAGTGACACACGGGTCAGAAGGCAGGCTGTCTTTCCTCTTGCAAAGCAAGAAAGGGTCAAATACGAGTCACTTCAAGTCTGAAATGACAGAACTCATAAAACTGCACAATAAACCTCGGCCCATTATTAGCTACAGGAAAGAGATTGACAGTGAAACAAACAGACAACTGTTAAAAAATGCAAGAAGTGCTTTTGACCAGTTCAAGTGTCGGAAGTGTCAAGCTAAATTTAAAGTGGGAATGAGGCAAATGACATGAAGTGGAAGTAATCCTTTCCAGGGCAGTACAATTACCTGGGGTATTACATGTTCACGTATTTTGAGGTATGAGCACAATATCATCATGTAGTCTAACATCTATTCAAATCACAACAAGATAAGACCTCCTGCTGCATACTGTGACTGGACACGTACATACTGTTCTCCTTCAAAGCCATGCTCACAACATAGAATAACAGAGCACTTTCTTAACATGGTATGGAGACTCTGTAAGAGGCTGTCAGTGTTATTTCTAAGGATTGGTCCAGGCTGAAAGAAAAGCCACAGGAGGGCATTGATCTGGAAGGCTGTCAGGAGATGTGAAACATCTAGTGATTGTCAGAAAGAAAAATAACATCCGTCTGACATCTGAATCCACTATTTGAGGCAGGCAGGGCAGCAAGGCAGGGGGTGGGATGGGGAGCGGGCGAAGATCAAACAAACAACTCACAGTCTCTTATTAGGAGCAGAGAGCACAGGGAATCAGGTTCTGTCTAAAGACAAACTCACACATCACTGTGAGTGAAAGCCTTGTGGTTCCCTTTGTGGCCAGCTAACCACTGTACAGTAGATACAATGCCTGGAGAAGGAGTCAGGATAAGTCAAAACCATCTGCAACTCTTTGACATGTTTAAATCTAAACTAATGGGGGGAAATCGATTCCCAAGCTAGTGCTTTTGCACAGGTTTCCTGCTTTAACAGGCACTTTGACTGCAAGGTGTGAGAGAGGGGGCATAGTGTGTGAGTGTGTGTGAGTGTGTGTGCGCGTGTGCACTCGGCTGTCTGCAGAAAATGTGTGTGTACTGTATGTGTAATGCCAGGCCTATGCATTATACTTTATGAAGTGGACTGAAGTCTTTTGGAGTCTGTGCATCAGAGGGTATTTAAAATGATGGATGAGCCACTTCTTCAGCTGTCACTTGGGAAAACAAAATAACAGTCATCAACACAACTGCCTGCAACATTTTCTCCAGTTTGTAACTGAAGAAGAGGAAAAAGACAGTGCTGTCTAAGGAGATGAAAAAACATATTACTATATCCCTGTTTTTTTTTGGTTTTTTTTAGCCAGACAGAGGATGACTCATTGAAGATGTCTCGTAGAGGGGTGGGGAGACTTTAGAAGTTGAAAAGAGGACAAAAAGGGAAGGGAGACGAATAATGTCCAGAGTGTGGAACTGGACCAGTTGGATGAATGGAGAATGTAAGTGGTTAGACGAGTAGAGATGAAAAAAAAAAATGTTGAAGCTATAAAAAGCTATCAAAGCACCAAACGAATGGATGAGAACAACATGAAATACAAAGGAAGGTGAACTGTACAAACAAACACCGCGTTTGAAATCTGTGGCCAGCAATTTCTAGAGTGAACGGAAGAAAGAGAAATAGGATAAATGCAGAGAAGCATAGCTTACAGGGAGAAAAAATGAGAAAAAAGAAAAAGAGGATGGTGGGGAATTGTGTAAAATGAGAGTTTTGTGGCACTGTAGGGAGGAGGGACAAGAATAAAAAGCTTGAAGGAAAGTAGTGTTAAAGAATACATGGTCTTACAGTAGGTTGACAGCTGTTCTGCGTGTATAGAGTTTACCATCACGAGGCTTGGCTTTCTGTTTATCACTGGGAATCTTTGTCTTTCCTTACACGCTTGTTATCTACGTAACTGTATATTTTCATTAAATGGCCTTGTTGAAGTTAGAGCTTTATAAAGAATGAATGAGTAGCTTATGTCTGTGATCTTCCCTCAGAATACTGAAACAAATTTCTGGGATGCTAGGTAGGTGGAGCAAAAAACTGACTAATCTACAAGAGAAATCCATCTAATAAACACAATGTACTCTGATTTTAGGGTGCTTGGTTACAGAGTTTTTTTTACTTTGCAACTGTACTTAAAAGGCATAGCTTTTTGGCATGCAGGCTCTACATGTGCAGTATAATGAGTGAGGAGCAAAAGAAAAATACTGAAGCTGTGATGGAAATATTTCAGCTACAGAAAGGATGATGTTCACTACCACTAGGCAACACAACTAACTGGTTTGATCATTTAAATCTGCGACACAAAGGTCTAAATAATCAGAGTGAAACCAGATCTGAAACCCAAAGCAAAAAACTATTTCGGATGCCTTTGCCAGCGTTACACCATATGAGAAAGTTTCCAAATGGCAGAGAGAAATCACTGATGCAACTACTTCTCACCCTACGAAAGACATGGTACCAATTAACGCAGTTACTAAAGAGGATTTTAAAAACATGATCTGATCACTTGACAAGCTGTTTGTAACATAATAGTATGCCAATTTTTCTTAGGTTGCCATCCCAGAACGGTAAGAAAAATGCAAGGCACAAGTTAAAACACAGCTGTCACAAATGGAATGAAATGAAGCTACAATGGACTTGTGGTCCAGCTGGACAACAGAGTGCTACAAAAGTCTCATCATCCACTTTATTAATGAGAACTTCCAACTGAAAAGAAACTGTTTGCAAATGGCATTTTTCCCAGATGATCATCCAAGTCAGAACATAGCAAGAGGGCTGAGAGAATCATTGGCTACTTAGGGCCTAGATGAGAGACACAAAGTCTGTGTAACAACAGACGATGCAGTGACCATGGTGAAGGCTGCCCCATCATCACCAGTTTGTGTGCTCTGGCCACAGACTGCATCTTGCAGTTGGTAAGTTATACCCATGCTATATTTACTAAGCTGTTTTTCACAACACAATATATATTGCAGAGACACAATTCCAGTTTTTCCAATACTGTGCAACCTCAATTAACCCAATCACTGTGTCTTTAGTAATAATCTGGAAAACCTCTGCAAACACACACACAGGAGGTACACACCTTAACCTTTCCAAAACCAAAAAAATAAAAGCTATTCACATATGTTTGCCTCCCTGACTTTGGCATGCATGTTTAATCTGCTAAACTGATAGGTGATTGTTACCAGTAATGATATTCACAGATGCCGCTGGAACATCATTAATACGTATTTGCGTTTTCACATAGAATGCACAATATATGTGACATAAAATACATAAGTGTGAAATAATTATGTAGCAGACCTTGGGCTTAAGTTCACTGCGTGTCCCCTCAATCACGGTTATTTTAAAGAACAGCAAATATTAAAACCTTCAGCTGTCACACAGGTGCAAAAAAGAAGAGTACATTCCACTAACAGTATCTACTTCATAAAATGCGTTGACCATAATCAACATGTGCTGCAAATAATTGCCTTAATCATGCTAATGTGCACAAAACCTCACCTGGATCTAACAGGACAAAGGCACGTTAACAGTAGCACTTTTCTGCATAGCATACTTGCATGCTAGTCATATTGTATAGTAAGATCATTTATGGAACCCTGCTGAGGATGTGATCCACGCTCAGGGATGTTGGAATGTTTTCACTTGAACCAAATACACAAATACTGTTTCCTTTAGAGGATCAGGATAATGTTTTCTATTGTTTTAACATAATCTGCGGTGCCAATTCTATTTCTGCATGATGTAAACATTTTGTACAGTCTGCATGTGTACTGGGCTTTTGGTGATTTACAAGCTCCAACTACAATTCATACAAAAGCACTACAAACTCACCAGACTGCAGGCATCTGAATCAGCTTTCCATAGAGTGCAGTGCTGAAGGAAGGGATGATGGGAATGAGAGGCAGAAAACTGCCTGTATTGTCCCTGCATGTCAAGCCTGCCTGGAACCCAAACACCTGCACAGAAAGACATGTAGAATAAGAGAGAGCTCGATCGATAGATCGATAGATCGATAGATAGATAGATAGATAGATAGATAGATAGATAGATAGATAGATAGATAGATAGATAGATAGATAGATAGAGAGAGAGAGAGAGATTTTTTTAGCATTGTATAGATCAAAGTATTTACTAGATTCACAAACTTAAAAAGAAAAAATACACAACAGCGGTTATTGGGCTCTCATCTGAATTGCGATTACACCAATTTAGCCTGAATCTCAATTGTTGTCAGCCAATGTTGCACTCTTTATTTTTCTAAAGATAAAAAAAATATAAAATCATCTTATCATATGTGGAACCACTGAGAGAAAAAAAATTATGCATGCTATATGTACACTGGACAACTACAGACAGCTGCAATAATACTGCGAGGAATGATATGACTGGTGCAGTGTTTATGAAGATACATAATACTGAGTCTTCAGCATTCTTCGGTTAAACAGTTTGTAAGTAGTTCAGTAGCACAGCCATGTGTACTAGCACATATGTACAGACTTAAATGAGTGTGCATCCACACAGTAACAATTAGAAAGTACAGAAAAGGCAGCAAAAAACACTGATAAATATCTGTGTTGATTGCTATAAGAGAGATATGTCTCACAATCATATTGTCATTATCTACGCTAACACACATAATGTACTGCAACCTCAGTGTTTACATACTGTTAATAGCACACATGGTGGTAAAGTCCTGTTTAATGTTGGAGGTAGGATGATGGCTGGGCCCAGCTGTTCAACATGCAGCTGCTGCATATGCACAGAGCTGGACTCCTGCAAGTGAAGGTGTACTAAACCACTTTGCTGTGCAGATGGCCTAGAGCAGACAGACAAAACTTTGGATAAAACTACAATGATAATTCATTTATAATAGGACAACTGGTCTGAGGATGTAATATTACACACCGGAGTAATATATCAAGCTGAATTGTATGATTGCTTGATACAGATGTAGACATAATAAAAACCCTACTATGAAATACAAGCACACACACCACACACTGATTCACTGCAGCTTCCTATGGGAGACTAGATTTCTGTTCTCCATTCAGCAGTTTTCCATTCAGAAGCAACTAGTTATTCATATAGCCCAAGTTTTCAGTTGCCACTTGTCTGTTTACTTCTGCGGCCTTCTTGTAGAGCTCTTGTCGACAATCATGGAAAAGTGAGATAATGGCTAACCACCATCGTCAAGACAGATACCTAAGCTCTGACAGCCAGTGTCAATAACACAAAGATTAAGATAAGCCTTAGTTTATACCCTTTTCAAATCACTTCCTGAACTGGTTGAATTGCAGCCAAAATGACCTCCACCCTGTCATGATCCCACTGCCAAAATCCAGAGGTAGAATTAGAACCTTGGCAGATACAGATGCTGATTGGCTGATTGGTCACAATGATCCTTGGCCACTGACTGGTTGGCTGTTAACCCTGCAGTGACCCTGTGATAAGGGCTACCAGCATGATGTCCAGTAAACATCCTGCCTTAAAAACACACTCAGGCCATACCAGGCCAGACTGGACCACCACAAATCACTCCAGATCTGTTATCCAGGCTTCCTAAAGTTGATTAGCTGGATTTGCTGAAGCTGCCAATGTTCTATATGTACTCAACGGGACACCTGGGCCTTTAGGTAACTTATAACTACAGAGGTTATATCCTCTTCTGTAGTCTATTTATAGATAAAACTACAAAACAAAGCATGAGAGAAATGTACTTCACTGTAGCCATCCATCATGGCTTAAGTTTACATGTACTTATATAAACAACTGATAACATAGTGTGTAGGTAAACAAGACATTCAACAAAATAAATAATGCTTATTTCTAACTGCTACTGCTTTGTCATGAACAAAATACTAACAAAAGAAAAGTATTAAAGAATACACTAATGATTAGAGTCGCTAAAAAAATTCTTTTCAAAATGTGAATGTTAAGCAGGTGCTCCAACAACAAATGGTGTGAGAAGTTTGTGTTAGTGGGTTTCCTGACAATTGGCAAGAAAGCTTAAAGGTGTCAACTGATTGTCGCTACATTCATTTTCCACCATGATTATTTTAGAACAAAAATTTTACTTACTTACTAAGGCCTTTCATGTTAGGCAATCAACACTGAAAATACGTCACAGCTGCACAATACGCACCTGTAGCATCCTATCAGTGTAGTAGATGAAAACCATGAAGTAGACCAGAGATGGACTGGTGCTCATCACAAAGCTCAGGGCTGAGATTTTTATGACCAGTTAAAAAGGGGTCATCATGTAATTAAAAGGGTCACTGGGGTCATTTAAAGTAAAGTTAGGAGTGGAGCAAGGCTATAGTGCATTAAAAACATAATATACAAATAAGCAGATGCATTTTTTTTTGTCAAAATGAAAAACTGCCAACTAAAAATTGCAAATTAGAGAAAAAAAAAGAAACAGAATTTGTTTTCTGTAAGACTAGTATATGGCTATGAATCCAGTTTTGCACTGCGTGTGATGCAACACCCAGTGCAGTTTCTCTTTCCAAAAAACAGCAAAGAATTTTGCTGAAACAAATCAACAATCATGAACCAAACAAATTAGTTCATCTTTTGACTTATTAACACAGAATCTGGATATCTGACTTAGACAGAAGGAGACTGTAAATTAAATGTACAGAAATCAACTGTGTGTCATTTGCCATAGGGTCAATTTTTTTTGTATGTCTGCAAAAAGGAATACTGTGATTTTTGTATGTGGAATGGGAGTCTTTCTCTGTGTGAATCAATACTGCATGATAATAATAATAATAATAATAATAATTATTATTATTATTATTATTATTATTATTATTATTATTATTATTATTATTATTATGTTATTGTTAAGGTTGTTATATAACTATTATTATATACTCAAAGATGATACTCAAAGATGTGTTACAAAAAACAAATAAATAAAATAAAACAAAATAAAACAAAATAAAATAAAATAAAACAAAATAAAATAAAATAAATAAATACACACATTTTAAAAAATAACATACTGTTGTGCTCACCTTAAGGTACAGGTGTGCATAGCAGTGATGTAGCAAGTTGTCAGAAGGCTGGTTGAGACTGCTAACTGTCGTGACCAGCTCTGGAGCATACATGGGTACAGAGTGCTCAACATTCACCCTCTCCACCTGGAACTGCACAGAGGGTAGCGGGTGCACCGGCTGAAACACTGGCACAGAGACTGGTCCTGGTGCAGCCTGATGGATTGACAATAGAAAACAGTTAGAAAGATAATAAAAGTGAAAATACAAATCACAAATATTACACTTGTTGTAGTCTAAGCCAAAATGTCCATATCAGTCTCTCTCTTATGAGAAGACATATCACCAACTAAGATACTTCTACTTATTAATTGTTGTAATACAAAAATGATGATATTGGCTTAACATTTTGAAAATGAAATGCACGTGAATTTCAGAGCATCTTTGGTCCACCCTCCTTTTGCCCTAATGACAGCAACACTTAAGCTGCATGGACTCCACAAGTCTGGTCAAAACTGGCAGCCTCTGTTATTCCAGCACAGTCTTTACAGTGTTCAAGTGCCACTATAAATGCTTGGTAGTGTTGTGGCCAAATGACTGTAGAAGAAAGTTCATGACATTCAGCACTCCTTAATCTTCTTTGGTCTTCAAATAGTCCTGCAAAGCACTGAGGTATATTTGGGCTCAGTATCCTACTACAGTATGAATTCTTCTTCATAAAGATGCAGGAGAGAAGGTGTAGTATGTCTCTGGAGAATGGAATGCTTCCTTTCCTTGGTCAGGGTGAAGTCGATTCAGTGGAGGGGTCCAACTTCAGAGTAGCTAAACAGCCCCAGACATTCCACCACCATGTTTCACAGTTTGATACACTGCAGGATCATTCTCTCTCCTGCTGATCTTCTTACAAAAACCCTCCCATTACCACCACAAATCTCCAACGTGGATTCATTAGAAAATAGCTTTTTTCCCCCCCTAGTCATCTATTGTGAAATGCTGGTATGTCTTAGTCCTCCTCAAGAGTTTGACCTTGTTTTGCTTCCTGAGAAGTGTTTTGGAGTCACTACTCATTCTCTGAGACCACTAGTAGACAGCCTTCTTTAGACAGAGCTTTTTGTTAACTGTAGTCTTGCATTCTGTACTCCAATGGAATGATACAACTACTAACCTGCTTGGTGTGATTGCTAACTGAGAAACAGTGAGTCAGAGTCTATTTATTTTACATGTCATAACTTTCTGTGTTCTAACATCTTTCTAAATGTTTAGACATATATTATGTTATATGTTATGTTTAGGCATATTTCCAGGCTAACATGAAAATATGACTAACATAATGTTTTCGTTGTTTTCATTCTCAGACTTTTGGAACCCACTGTATCTGTGGTGACTCTCTGTGAAGTGTCATTGTAATATAAATTTGTAAAAATATAAAAGAGAAAACTGTCAAACCATAAATATTGGGTATATTCTGATATTATTGCAACATCTAAACATTTTTAGCAATCAAATCAAAGCTACCTACCACATTGCTGCCTATTGTCTGAATAGGCAGCTAATTAAGTGTCAGTTGTGTCATGTATTGTGCATTTAATTATCTTGCTTGACTTGTACTAAAGATTGTCACGTCTTAATTTTATGCAAACCAAAAAAACAAAACATTTCTCAATGAAGGCTGAGATGTAGCTGCGAGGATGTTAACTGGAGTGATGTACATCTGTTGGCATTACCTTATGTCCCATGATGACAGGCATTAGTGTGTGAAGGAGGTTGAACTCTGCCATGGAAACAGTGACTGAGACTTGGAGCAGGGTGAGACAAGTGAGTCTGGTTGGGATGAATTCCTCCAAGCGTGATATCTCTTCTGCAGTAGCTGGACTACTGCTCTCCTCAATCATTTCTACAAAGATAACAAGACAACAAAAAGAAATGTTTTAGCTTCAAAATAAACACTGCACCATACTGCAAGGATACAGGAAAGGTGTAGGATAAAGTGTAACATTCAAAATTTTTACAATAGCAACTGGTTTTACTTTGCTTTAACCAAGTGAATCTAACCATCAGTATGCAAACCTGTGGTGTACTACTTAAAACAAAGTGAGGCAGTGGGTAAATACCAAACATGTTTGGATTTTAGACTGAAGATTGTTTTACAGAGAGAGAAAGAGAGGTTAGCTATAAAGCACACCAATTTCCTTAAGTGGGTGCCATTTCTTAATGCCTACAGCATTTAAACAATGAAAAGGTCTCTTCCAAGAAAAACCACCACTTCATACACTACATAGACATGCACTATAAAAGTACTGGCATCTTCAACACTGTTCATTATAGTGGTTGCTGCCCAGTAGCTTTGCTTTTGAATGATTTAATAAAGCATTCATTTAATCAATAACCAGAAATAAAAAAGCGAACCAAGCCAACATCAAAAGAGGCTTGTAAGGTCAGCATTCACTGCAGTTAAGAGTGACCAGAAGACTGAACCACTAAACCGTGTCCAGGGCCCAAGGCAAACCAAAATCTGAACCCTTTGTTACAGCCTTGGCTCTGGTCCCAGGACATGGGCTTGTTTCAGTTCTGTAAAGGTTCTGTTGGGCTAGACTCCCATCTACAAGGTGGGCTCGGAACCTGATCTCAAAGCTGTTTTGTTCTTTGGCCTACTGCCAAAACCTGCATCAGGTTCTTCTGGCACTGCTATGTCCAATCTAATGGTACGCCAGCACTCAAGTCAATATCCACAGCAAACATTTAATTTATAACAAACATGCAGCTCACATGGAACACAGGGACATGATTACAAACACGAAAACACTTACATTTAAACCATGCAGGGAAGATGAAAACAGAAAAATGAGTGTGCACGCCAATATTACTAACCAATAACATATTATTGTGTAAACACACCCTGGACCTTGCAATTCCTGTTTGTAGTCAATATATATTATAAAAAAAACAAAAACTAAAAATTAAAAAAAAACTTGACTCATGCTGACACAATGCAAGAAATTTGCACGCTGGAACCTCCTCTCAATAAGGCCACATCTTAAAAATACACAAAGACACAAGCCAATTTGGCTTCCACTGACAGCTTGTTTGGGAAAGGAAGTGATTCTTTCTAAGAGTACATAAAAAAAAGAAGCACAGACGAAATCACAGGATGAGCAGAAAGAAAGTTATGCCCTTGACCTCTACTTCTTTTTGTAACAAGCACACAAAAAAAATTACCTCTTGAAACAAAACAGATGCCACAAAAATCACCTGCAGATTAGACAAAACCTAGACAGTCCAAAGAGTGACACTTAAGATCATCTGTCCTGCACAGTATAAATGTAAAGCACACCAGTGAAAATAAAAAAGCTAGGTATACCTTCCTGTAATTAAGAATACATTTTTTCTTACATTTTTTATAAGTATTTGTACATGAACTCTGATGTACCTGATTCAAAATCAAAGAAAAGCAGGACAGCAGTATAAGCATTACAAAGATGCTATTGTTTTTGTACAGTACAGACTTATTTGTTTCAACTGTTAAGTTCAGCAGGGCTAACTTAAAAAATAATGCAATTAAATGATAGAAAGAGCAGGAGAGCATATGTAAAAATATATAAGGCATGTGTTATTCTATCAATGACTGCAATGGCAACCTTGGTCTCCTCCTTTATCTACCCCTCCCCTTGTAGATAACTATACCGACCCATTTGCAAAAAAATGCTTGAGAGCAGATACATATAGAAACAGGAAGGAACACTCTGACCTACCCGGCTTTAGACAAAAACCGCTATAGTAATTACCCTATCATCTATTATCTATCGCAGATGCTGAAACAACCGAAACCTACGGATGTTATCATTTCACAAAAATCTTTCGCAAAAGAGTTATTGCTACAGATATTACACACAGACAGACATTCCATGTTCTTTCACAACATCCAAGGGATGAGCTCATCAATAGCTGCGCAGGGATGATCACTACCAAAAGGTGTTTGGCTTAACCTCCCTCATATGGTCCAAAGGGTCACTGCTTTCATGTACAGCTGTGTGTTGAAGGATCGATTGTGCAAGGAAATAACAATGTGATGAGGATACTATGAAGTGCAAACTTTCTGATCACGAGCAGAACAGAACAAACTATAATAAAGTAGGAGACAAGAGATTTGAGTAAGAGGGAAGAGAAAATATGAAACTGTGTTGAAAGTGTATAAGGTTATACTAGATGTTAGTGTGAGTTCTCTGACCTCGCTGTGGTTTGCAGTAGGGTTCATACTCATGGTCCATGGCACAGGTAACCATCTTGAGGATGCGGTGGATAGCGCTGCTGTGTAGCCTGATGTCTAAAGGTCCCACCACCAGCCTCTTGATAGATGTCTCTTGAACCACAGGCACTACCTCCTCCATACTCACTGCGGAGAAATCTTGAGAGCCTACAAACAGAAACAAATGTACATAGATAACTTACATATATATGTGTGTATTCAACTTTTTTCTTTTTTTTTTTTTTTTTAATATAAACTTGAGAATTCTTTTGCAAGTGAACAAAATCAATACCCTTTCCAAAGTCAAATTTGAAAAGTGCAAGTACGTAAAGAAGGTATCGTATATCACCTGCCCTGTTCAATGTACAGAATGTTTTTTTTTTTAACATTAATATTTAAGGTAGCAACATTTCCTTCATACTCCATTTTTAATTCAGTGTAAGTAAAAAAACTTTTCATGTGATGGGTGAGAACACAACACAGATAGCTGTGGTGTAATGCAGCAGCAGGGAGCTGCTCACAGAGACTTGAACCACTGGAATGATGTATATTCCAAATGTCCACTTTTCTCACACAGCTGTCCCTTCATTCATCGCAGGTCCCTGTTCCAGAGGTCCACTTAAAAGGCTCAGCTCCCCGGCAATAAAAAGGGAGAAATTAAAAATAAAAGAAGGGGGTGGATGAATGGCAGTGAGGGAGGAAGAGGACAAAGGGTCACAACTTGCTTTATTCCCATTACATTCCACCACTGCACTGAACATTCTTACAGCTCAGACTCAATGCTATGAATTTAACTTTTTTAGCTGAAAGGTCTGTGAAAGGGCTGTGTACTTACACAAAATTTTGGAAATTTATAAAAGGGCAAAAGGCAATGCCACTTCCCTTTCCTTTTAGTGTGATTTGGCTACAATGAATTAGGCTTAATATCAGCCATATGGCTGCAGTTAGAATGGTCAGTGGAATGATGAGGATGCTGAAATTAGCTGGGATTTAGACGATTTAAAAGTGTCTCCATTTCCTAAGAATGAAGAAAAAAAAAATTAATCTGCAGTGTTACTCTGATGTAAGGTCCATGGTAAGGGTGACCTGGGTCGGTTAGTATTTCGGTTGACTCAGAGTTTATGTTCATCCTGTGGCAATGCAGGCTAATTTGTTTGGTTGACACTGGATCTGGTCCTTGTTCAAGAAGAAGAGAAACACTGACAGAAGAGAAGCATTCCAATTGGCAAGGGTAACCACAGCCATCCCACAGAATGACACTTATCCTGCTGTCAAAAATTTCTTTGACAGCTTAGGATGACAGTATCAATGTTTTTTTTAATTTAGATTATTATCTATAGCTGACAGCAGCAGGAGGAAACAATAGCCTAGTCACTGAACGGCTGAGGCACAGTAGGGCAAACTGACAGAGAGGCAGAGTAGAGACAAGTAACACAACACAGGAAAAAATAACTGCTAAAGTCATTAAATTGGTTCAACTAGATCTTTGTTTCTTTGTTTTGTTTGAAAAAAGGCAACTGTGTCTATTTCATCAGAAACTTCAATCATTAGTCATTATTGTAAGAGGTCGTGTCCACTCCATAAGCATGATCTCCTAACACCAAATTTGCCTGACACTTAGAAACACACAGGCAATAAAGGTATCCTATTATACTTGTGCCAATATACACAGTAGGGGGTTGCTATTTATGCAGATTTAATCCACTTTTTTTATTAAAATTTGAAGCATGTACGACTTTCTTTTTTTAAATCTTAGAACTTGTGAATGTCAGTCAGGTGCCTTTGTCATATTTACACATAGAGAAGCTTTCCAGCAGCATTCAAATAAAATGCTCAACATCACACATGAAAGCACTGAGACATTTGTGGGCCAAATATAACATTTCAAATTGAAGGGAGCACGCTTTATCTCTTAATGGGAACTTCAGATCTGTTAGACTTAAATAAACATTCTAGAGTGCTGCAGCTGAGGAATGAGTAACCCTGCCCGTCTTAAGGCTTCTGCCAGGAAGAGTGACATCTAATTAGGCAAGAGGGGCCTATTCACTTTTCCAAGAGCTTACAGGTAAAGAGACAGAGGGGAAACAGTGTTTCAACAAGCAATGGGGAGAGAGAAACTCAAATACGTGTCAGCGCAGACTAAACACTTCTGACAGTTGCCCTCCAGGTAAGTTTGGGGTGAGAGTGAGGACAGAAAGGGTCAAGGACCAGGTGGCTGTGACTGAAACAAGACAAGCTCTTTCTTCGAGTCTCCAGGGGGTTTGTTTGACAGAGCGCAGGGAAGAAAAGAGAAAGAGAAGGAGATGGAAAGACAGCAAGAAAGAGAGAACAAGGCAGAGAAAAGAAGAACATGACAGATATAAAGGAAAAGAGAGACGAGGTGACCAAACAAGCTCTGTGAGGAGGAATGAATTAGACAATACCTTTGCTGCTGCTGTTCTCCATTGTGTAGAGATAATCCATGTAGAAAGCACCAAAGCGCTGCATGCCCGCTATCTCCGTGTAGGTCTCCTGTCAAACAAAAGCAGAGTTAGGTAAACATGGCTGTAAGGGAGCAAACAAGCTCATAGCCTCCAAGAGTGGCAATGACTGGGGTTGAGGTGGATATAGCAGTGGGGGTCAAATCAGAGATAAAAAGAGTTATTGAGTTGTTGATCTACTTAGTTTGATATTTGTTGTTTTTAACAAGTCAGCAATACCCCTCATACTTTGAAGTAGTTACTAAGACTTAAAATGAAAGGAGACATTCTACCATAGAAATAAGACAGAAGGTAAGGTGTAAACGTTGTACAACTAGACACCTCTTTTAATTAACTTTTTAGAGCACAAAGAGGTCAATTCTGTCAGAAAACAGACATTTTCCAAGTCTGTACTTCATTATACATTTATGTGCACAGGTAAGTAATTTACGAGACATCAAGTCTGTTCTTTATTGAGTAATAAGCTACTGATAAAAGGAATTGAAAGTTTCCTCCGTCAATTGGTGCCTGGATGTATGCCAGTGGAAATATGTATCTTATCAACGAGAAGATAGGACTTTTTCATAACAAATCAAAACTGTCTGCCTGGGATTATAGCTGATGTTTTCATTCCAAGGTTATGAAATGATATTTAGAATTTATCATATTAGCTATAAAAAGCATGAATGTAACGCAAACTGTACATCTATGCAATATATAAAAGCTTGGAAAAACAATTATTAACAATGATTATGAATGGACTTTGTGATAACAAGATAACAAGTTGTCTAACAATAAATGTGTTTAAGGAAAGGAATTTAAGTTACACCATTCTGTATTCTCTTCAGTGACACTGCAGCATAGTCAAGCACACAATAATTAAGAAGCAGGCTTCACCCTGTACAGGTTGCCAGTTCATCAAAGGGCTGACAGACAAATACAAACACATACATTTTCATGCATTTTAGTTTTTATATTTTACTTCAATAATTTAAACCATGGGGGAATGCTAACTACAGAAGCACTGTGCCACCACAAAATAGTTTATTTACAATTATTCTTAACAAATGTAAACTAGATAAGGTACAAAATGGAAACTTTTATCTCATCTTTGATCTACCTGGGTGTCAGTGCCCTGTTATAACTTATCATCATTAGTCTGCAGGTCAACAGTTGCTGACCTTGCCTTAGACAGCATTTGAAAGTTATATTTCTACTGCACAATAAACAGAGAGAATGAGTAAGCAAGCAAGAAACCGAGAGAAAGAATGAAAAAGGGCCCCACGCACATTTAACACCCCACCCTAGACTTAACCACATTTTCTCCAAACAGAGATTTCAGGAGAGCCTTATCAGGGAGGCGGGTTAATGAGTAATATTTATTAGGGCATCTCTAATGGCTCTGGCATGCTTTTGGATCAAAGCCAGGCTGGTTTCAAAATCGCTAATGAATTAACACTAAAACCTTTGAGTGTTTGACTTTCAAATATGGATAGGTGGATGGATGGGTGTCCAAACAATTGCTTCATTGAGGGTCATGAACATTTTTAAGTAGAGTCAACACTATAGCTGTGAGGGCTGATGAAGGAAGCTGAGCGTTATCAGCAACAATAGCTTTAACACTACTACTTAAAGAGCAAGCACATTCCTCTACTGCAGCCAGCAGCTGGGTGACTGACAGAAATGATCTGAGGGAAAATGAAAATCTTTCAGTTATTGAGACGAGAAAATACTATGAGTTAAAAAGAACAAAACACTTCATTAAATTACTGCCATGAAATATGGGAAGGTGTCAATGCGGCTTTTCCAGATGAAACATAAAAAGAGGCTGGATGTAATTATGTTAGATTATTGTTTATTGACCCAGATAAACTACTGTATTACAGTAGCAAAGCACTTAGTGTGCTTATTTTAGCAAGTCACATTAAAATGATATCCACACTAATGTGTGTTGGTGAAACACATTTTCCTCTATTTGTTCTCTAACCAGCTTCACAGTGCTACAGCTATTCATCTAGCGTAGACTGTGTAAATAGCAGGTGCTGGTCAAGAAGTTCATTACATGTAAATGCATTTTTTCACAGTATTGCTGTTTGTTAAATAGAGTAAGTTTCTGTAAGATTCACATTGACAAGGTTGTTGGAAGGGCTTGGAACTGATTGCCTCATTTTTGCTATATGGTTTAGTTTCTCCTATCAGTTTTGTTGGTGTCCTTAGAATACTTGTATGTAGTAAATCTTCTATTAAAAAATATGCTTGATTGTAAACATGAAGTGTTTCACTGACATAGATGCCTTGCTGCTCTGAGGTAGGGGCTCTCTGAAGACCCCTATCTAAAATGCATGGTTTGTTGCTACCTTTTGGTCTTCCATCAGAGCAAAGGCAGTTTGTATGGTAACATTAATTCTTTGGCAGAGTAGTATTTGTGATGATTATTTCTAGTCGTCCATTATTATTGCATTGTGACCTTGTGATTAGCAGCATCCAGGATGAACTCGGCCCTGACTCCGTTATTCTCTGGACTCCGGTAGTCGAAGAGAGAGTTGGTGAGGTAAGTCATTCCTTTACTACTTAGACTGTCCCCACAGCTGAAGAACACTGCATCCTAAAGAGACACAGAGGAAAAGGGAACATCAGGAGAAACACAATGGAGAGGTTACAGAAAGAAAGTAAGAAATATTTATGGTTATTTCAGATGACAGGAAATACAATCCACCCCTTATGATGTACAAAAATCTTATCCAGTTGTATTTTAAAAATATGTATAGCTGAATGCACCATTTAGAAGTAAGATTTAAAAAAACTTTTTTTAAGCTAGTTAGCATGTGTGAAATTGCACAAGACATGACATGCTGGAATAGTGATGTGTGGACCAGTCCAAGGCACTTTCTCTCCCATTTACAGGGTCAGGGGGGTTTGTGTATGAGCACCGGATTTTTCAGGCACAAACAGAACAGACCACTAGCAGAGCAGTGGATGATACTGATTTCAGTTGAGACTAGAAGTGATAAACTGTACATGAGTAGATCAGCACATGCAGATGTTAATACAAGACCAATTTTAACAAGGTTGAACGATTTGGGAAAAATACAAGTGTGATTTTTACTGACAGATATTGGGATTCGATTTGCAATATAATTTTTAAAGTCAAACTTCAGTGCAACAGTCAACATGTATTAGATATAAATTGTGCCATTATGACATGAAATACCATCAAAAGAATTACTATCACACAAGGAGGGTGGCATCTGTTTTTAAAACCATGGACATGGCAGTTTAAACTCTGGGTCAGATCTGCTGCGTAACACACACTATATCCTAAACTGCAGCCTTCCCGATTTGCCAACTGTGTTGCTTCAATTTCAATTTCTATGTGAAATTGATCAGTTGTTTAGCCCTACAATGCATGTAGCAAACATAGAACAATTTGATCAGTAACAAAAGACTGCACACTCTTGTAAACAAACAAGACCACATCTCTACCTCCTCCTGAAAGCTCTCCTGGAGTAACAGAAGCAAACATATTTCAGGTGTTTTAAATTGTTGCTTAATCTTTCTCACTCAAGTTTTTCCTCTCATTTAATTTTTCCTTGACATTTTTAGGCTCTTTACCTCTTCACGTCGGTTCATGTTTTCCTCAAAATCCCGTACTCCCATGATGCCTTTCAGGCAGAGTGCCCGGCAGCCCACGAAGCCAATTTGACAATCAAAGAAGGGCTCCCCCATCATGAGCACCTGGAATAAACACCAGAGACACACTTATTCAGCTCTACATGAAAAACAAGGTGATCACTGGATAAACTCAGGGAACAAAATAAGGAATGATAATTTTAAAAAATTGTTTATTCATTCCTTAAATTTGTTAATAGCCCTAACTTTTCTGGATGGTGAGGAAATTTGACAGCAGTCCTGAGAATGAGGCAAGTCATTTTCAGAACCTTGTCCTCAGTGAAGACAACATCGAGCATGTAAAGTGTCCTAAATTAGCTAACCAGTGCCATAAAAAACATAATAATGTAATGATTCACAAAAATTAATTTGACTGAACTACCTACGACACTGCAATAAAATATTAAATATCAAACTCATGACAGTTCAAGACTGTACTGTGTATAATGTGTAATATTGCAGTGGGCACCACAACCCATGAGGCTCTGTGGCTTGTGGTGCTGTTGAGGTTGCGGACTCATTTAATGATGATAAAAAAAGGAGCAGGGGTCAAACGGCTTCCATGTTCCCCTGAGAGTGATGCATGTTTGCGTGTGGTAACAGTCCTTAGCCCCTGTAACCACCAAGGTGTGGTTCTCCCTCACTCAGTGCGTCTTTGCTTTTCCTGACAGATAATTAAACAGAGAACACACCAATAAAACTTTACGTTTCACCACACAGTCATTACAGGGCCTCGTTTTCCCTCTTTTACTAAGCATCCCTTTGCTTTTCAACGCTTGCACTTTTGGTCTCTGTTCAGACTGCTCTCACTCTCTCTTCCAGCAACGGCATAAATTACAGAAATTGGAATTGAAAATCTCAGAGAATTTTCACATCTGGTAGAAAACTTAGGAGCAGAAAAACCCCTTTCCTACTAAAACCAGGTAATCAGAGAAAAAGGTTTAAAAATATTTTTTATGTCGAGTGGGAATATGCGGAAATGATCAGACCTGGGCTCAACTCAGACACCACTGTGTGCACTACAGGCTACAGATTAGTGAGTTGGCGAGGCCTTTAAATGTACTTCGGGAGGGAATTGAAGGAGAATCGCTGTACAACTATGAAGAAGGGAGAAAATATATATACATATATAGTAATAACCACAACAACAATTATAAAATCATGATAATTGCAACTAAATGCAGATAGCGCTACTAAAAGTAGTTGCTGCTTTATGTTCTTCAATAACAATAATTATTCTAAATGCAACAGAACCCAGGTAAGACCAATATGGCCAGACTATGTCAAGATAAATATTACACATTTGCATCAATAATAAATGCAACACATTTTTTTCTCTTTCTATTTTTTTATTATGACAAGGTCAATTAAGAATTTTGAAATATGGACTGAACTTGGAATGGTCAATGGAAAAAAAATTCCAAAAAGCTATTGTTTATATTTTAGCAATTCTATTTATTAA